CAGCAAAAGATTGCATAATTTTTCTTTCCATAGGCATGTTAGACCATCTTGGTGTAGTGGTTAAGAATGGAGGACTCTAATCTGGAGAACCGGGTTTGATTCCCCACTCCTACTCCACGTGAAGCCAGCTGGGTGACCTCGGGTCAGTCACAGTTCCCTCAGAACTCTCTCAGCCCCATCAACCTCACAGGGTGTCAATTGTGGGAAGAGGAAGGGAAGGCAATTGTAAGCTGCTCTGAGACTCCTTTGGGTAGTAAAGAGCAGGGTATTAAAAACCAACTCTTCTTCCTCAAAGGAACCATGCAGTTGGCACCTCCCATGAAGCACAGATTGCCTACTAGGAACCAATGTTCCCTCTAAGCTGTGAAGTCTTGTGAGCAAAAATTCTACTTTGTGAGCTTCTGGCATTAAAGTGGTGAGCCAGCGATTTGGCTACTGCATAAATTAGTTTGCTCTGGAGCCATCTTTCCTGGGCTGAGACAAAAATGTGTGAGCTGGAGGCTAAAAACCTATGAGCTAACTCACACTAACTCAGCTTAGAGGGAACTCTGCTAGGAACCTTTTGAAAGCCTTAAAGGCCTTGAGCAGACCTCCATTTGAGCCTTACAAACAATCAGAACCTAAAGTTTTCTTCTCAGAATATGTCGTTTTTCTTGCAGAGATGACTTCTGCAAGAAGGAATTCTGAACTAGGGGCTTCATTGGTCAGGAATTGTGTGTATTTCACAAGGTCTCAGTGGTACTTAGGACAAAGCCTGGTACTACTGTCCTTTTGTCCTACACCATCTCATCTCAAAGCGAGAGTCTGGCACAAACTAGACATGCACAGGGCTCCGTGCTTCTGTTTCAGTAGGACGGCACAGATCAGGCCAAAGGATTTTCTGTCTCTGCCTCACAGATCACAGCCTTTAACTAGAAACGTCTCAAGCCATGTATCTGAAAGGCATATGAAGTACAAGGCCTGGAGCCTCCAAAGGATGTTACGGCCCACTCCACCAGATCTGCAGCAACATCAGTGACCTTTTCCACCAGGGTTCCGGTGGAAGAAATCTGTAGAGCTGCAACCTGGTCCACCTATTATACCTGTGTGAGACACTGTAAGTGGGACCAGTTAAAATCTGTGGAAGCTTCATCTGGTACAAAGGTGTGCAACAGAGTGGTGGAACAAAATAAAAATGAGTATCCCACCCGGGTTGTCGTTTGGGCATGTAACCAGCTTGGATAACTTTCCTCACTGAAGAAGAATGGAACATTGGAACTTAACTGAAGGTTTCTTCTCTTCATTGGGCTGAAGTCATCCACATCCCACCACAAAACAAAAAAAATATGTAGTTGGACACAAAATCTGTTATGGATCTGGGCTATGCTAAGACTGGATGGTCAGGGTCACTCTGAGACAATATATTCTACACAAATATGCATAGTCCTGCCTGGAGTGAGAGGAGGTATGACCTAACCAGTTTGGATGACTTGGTCCCACTGAAGAGGAGAAACCTTCAGGTAAGTTCCAGTGTTTCATTTTTTTCTTCCCCATGAGATCTATTTGAGCTCTCTCAGTCCAAATATTTCTATCATTTCTTCCAGGTTATGGTCAGGATTCTAGGCCGATAAAAGCACTTTATAAGCGTTTACAAGGTTTCAACCCCTTCTATGGTCTGTGGTTGCCTTTTACGTGTGAAATAAGAGAAAAGCTCTTTTCACAAGCTAAGCAAGGTATATGGTTTCTCCTTGTGTGGGTTCTTTGATGCTGTTGAAGATGGCCAGGCTAACTGAAACTCTTCCCACACTCTGAGCATGCAGGAGGATTCTCCCGTGTGAGTGTTTTTGAAGATCACACCTCTGAACGGATTTTTTTCACTCTTTGCATTCAAAAGAGATGCTCCCGTTGAAGGCCTTTCCATACTCTGATCATTCAAAAGTCTCTCGCCTGTGCGAGTTCTTAAATGCTTGTGAAGATGGCCACTCTGAATATTTTTTATCCCCTAGGTGGGTTCTTAGATGCTGGTGCAGATGGCCACACTGACTGAATCTCTTTCCACACTCTGAACATTCAAGAGGTTTTGCACCTCTGTGTTTTGTTTTGTTTTTAAAAACATTTTTATTGCTTTTCTAAACTACAAATCTACAGGGTCAAGGGATGGGAACAACCTAAAATTAAGAGTAACAAGGATCCTTAATACAGAAATTTCAAATTGCTGATACATCCCTATTATCAAAGTAGTAAAGCGTGAGAGTTAATAATATAAAAATATCAAATTAAAAAGCAAGCAATCACAAACATATTTGACTGTAGTGGGTGCATCTTAGCTTTAAATTTATATGTTAACAATAGACATCAGACTATCAAAGTTAATCTACTTTGGTCGTTTCTTTCGTCTATGCTTCTTGTCAAAGTCCAATTTAATTTTTAGCCGTTTAGGGGCAACAGCCCCTAATTCTGCTTCAGTATCCAAAGACTCTGCCGAGCTACTCAAAGAGGTATCAGAACTTTCTCCAGCTTTAT